TAACAAGTTTTATAATGAATTCTTTCAACAGGTGCTCTCATAACTTTCAAGTTGGAGAGTCCTAAATACAAAATAAAATGAGAATTCCTTCAAAAATATTTCAAACTAGGAATTTCACTTTCTATTTCTATTCTGTATCTTCCCTATATGTGGCACAGTCTCAAGAAAAGACGAGTCGTCATTTTAACTTTAAATGAGGATAATTCAGGACAAACGTGAACTTGAAGGCTCAAATTGTGACCCTATTACTGTTATGCTTAGCTCAAAAATTCCGGTTTCTGAGACAAAGGTACAATTGGTCAAACTGATGGCCAACCTGTTCTTTGAAAGGGGCTACCCTGGCTTACTTGCCAAGGCCAGGGGTTCCAGATAGCACAGGTTCATATTTAATTAAAGAAAACTTGTGGTGTTTGTTGATGTTTCTAAAAGATGGGTTCCCTTATTTTCATTTATGAAAAAGAAAATGCTAATACTTATATGAATAGAAAGTTGAGGTGTTCTTATGACTTGGAAAAAAAACCAGTTTGTCTCACATGTCCATAATTAATTCATAATTAGCTAAATTGGAACAGAATTACCAGTAAAATCCCAATGAGTGACCGATCAAGAAAGATCAAAAAGTCTTTTTTTTTGTTCATCCAGACAGTACATGCATTGACATTTATTATTATTATATGCAACAAGAACATAATGATATGATTAAGAATACATGCTAATTAGAAACACGAATTAATCAAATAGTTTGCTCAATTTGACAGTAAAAAACAAGGAAACCCATCTTTAAATGTCATATATATATATATATATATATATATATATATCCCTTTGCATATTAGCATTCATTAAATTAACAAAATAAAGCTTTTGCTTTCTGTATCAAACTTTGTTAAAAATAGATCAAGAATAGCATAATTGTAAACCATTTCAACAATTTGAGTAATTTGTGGTAATTACAGCAACCTACTGGAAAATAATAATGTTATTATTCTACTAATTAGTGAAAAACTTTACTCGAATGAACCGTGACTTATGCAAGGTAATGGCAAAAATGGGAGGTGCAGCTATGTTAATTAGTTCTAAAAGAAACAACCCTGATACTTTACGAGGATAACAACTTATGTTCTGAAGGATTGAGCTGTTTTGCTTGCTGATCCTTGACCAAATATCTTGGCAATTTTTTTTGTGGATATTCAATAAGAAAAGAGAGTCCTTAATGATCCTGAAGAACACTAGGATGTAAAGCATCATTTTGTTTCATTAACTCAGTTATGTACAGAACAGTAGGATGTAAAACATCATTTTGTTTCATTAGCTCAGTTATGTACAGAACAGTAGGATGTAAAACATCATTTTGTTTCATTAGCTCAGTTATGTACAGAACAGTAGGATGTAAAACATCATTTTGTTCCATTAACTCAGTTATGTACAGAACAGTAGGATGTAGAACATCATTTTGTTTCATTAACTCAGTTATGTACAGAACAGTAGGATGTAGAACATCATTTTGTTTCATTAACTCAGTTATGTACAGAACAGTAGGATGTAAAACATCATTTTGTTTCATTAACTCAGTTATGTACAGAACAGTAGGATGTAAAACATCATTTTGTTTCATTAACTCAGTTATGTACAGAACAGTAGGATGTAAAACATCATTTTGTTTCATTAACTCAGTTATGTACAGAACAGTAGGATGTAAAACATCATTTTGTTTCATTAACTCAGTTATGTACAGAACAGTAGGATGTAAAACATCATTTTGTTTCATTAGCTCAGTTATGTACAGAACAGTAGGATGTAAAACAACATTTTGTTTCATTAACTCAGTTATGTACAGAACAGTAGGATGTAAAACATCATTTTGTTTCATTAACTCAGTTATGTACAGAACAGTAGGATGTAAAACATCATTTTGTTTCATTAACTCAGTTATGTACAGAACAGTAGGATGTAAAACATCATTTTGTTTCATTAACTCAGTTATGTACAGAACAGTAGGATGTAGAACATCATTTTGTTTCATTAACTCAGTTATGTACAGAACAGTAGGATGTAAAACATCATTTTGTTTCATTAGCTCAGTTATGTACAGAACAGTAGGATGTAAAACATCATTTTGTTTCATTAGCTCAGTTATGTACAGAACAGTAGGATGTAAAACATCATTTTGTTTCATTAGCTCAGTTATGTACAGAACAGTAGGATGTAAAACAACATTTTGTTTCATTAACTCAGATTAACTCAGTTATGTACAGAACAGTAGGATATGTAATTCTAATGAATGTCAAACAAATGGCTGTTGTTCCGATCTCAATCATAGTCCAACGACCTTGAGTACAGATAAACAGATAAAGGTCAATTCCAAGAGGTTTGGCAAAGGACAAGCTGGTAGAAAGGATCCTCAATTATGAACTGAAGTTGTTATCTTTATAAAATGTAGTTGTTTCTTTTTTTCTTCCATTAGGATGTAAAACTCCAAAATAATTTCTGTAATATACATAAAGTAAGAAGATAAAAGGTGTTGATGAGCTATAAAAACTCCAAAGTGTCTAAAAAAAAAAGATGGATGGTATTTGAAATTTGGCTGGTGGCCATTTTGTCCTATCTCTAGAGTAGAGTTATTACTTAAGATTAGAGGTTAATATGACCTTAACACTTAGCTTATCCAAAATCTTTACCCTGAAATCCCCCCCCCCCTCTTTCCTTGTTTTTAGTTTCACATGAATAGATGTTTTCATCAATGGATAGGATCTATTTCATATGGAGCACAACCATTTCTGTTGTTGAGGGTAGGGGGGTTCCTAAGTGTTCTTAACCCATGAATGAGGTTCGACCAACTATTGTAACAAAAAGTGTGATATCAAGATTTCTGAATATAGCAGGGTTCGCACAGCCTTGAAAAACCCTTGAATTCCGTCTGTTGCCTTGAAAAACCTTGATTTCAAAAAAAGTCTTTGAAAACACCATAAAAAACCCATTTTCTCTTGAAAAGTCCTTGAATTTTGAGTTGAGTCAAATTGTGTATATTTTTATCATTAACCCCATTGACAAATATTAACTATCTTTATTGATTTCACAGTTCAGAAGTTAGGTACATGTGTATTCTGTCAGACTTATATCCTTGAAAAGTCCTTGAATTTCAAAGCCCAGAGTCCTTGAAAAGTCTTTGAATTTTTGAGGCAAAGTGCTGTATGAACCCATAATAGTCAGCGCGTGATTTTCATCTTATCAGCTGCAAAAGCATGAAACCTTCAAGATCTTACTGTCAAGTTTCACACAAAAAAAATATAACAAAAGAAGATAAACGACCCATGCAAAATTTATTTATAGGGGGTATATTGACCTTAGATTTATCTTTTAGCTGCATATAAGATTCAGTATATATATATCTCTGACTACAGTATACTCTATGACCTGAAAGTTTTACTATTTTTTACAATCTACATTACAATACATTATAATTTTTTTGGGGGGGTTGTATTATATGCCTTTTGAAATTTGAAGGACGTTTAAGGACAAAACGTCATTAGGGTGGTCCTTGGTTTAGTTTAGTCAAAACCTGAAAGTTTCAGAACACATGATTTTTCAATTTTCCTAGCTGTGTTGTCAAGAATTGATTTAAACAGCACTGCACTTCTTGAACTGATTGATCCTTAAGGCAAATATTAATATCCATACATTTAAATTTGTTCAAGTTTTCTTTTTTGGAGGTAAAAAAAAGTCTCTGAACTGCAAAGAAAGTTTCAAAATAGGTTTCTAATTGAATAAAAAGTTTTTAAAATGTAGAGGGGAAAGGTGACTATTTGAAAAAAAGTTTTCAAATTGGAAGGGGAAAAGGTCTCTTATTGAACAAAAGTTTTCAAAATGGAAGGTTAAAAGGTCTCTTATTGAACAAAAGTTTTCAAAATGGAGGGGGAAAAGGTCTTTTTTTGAAAAGAAGTTTTCAAATTGGAGGGGGAAAAGGTCTCTTATTGAACAAAAGTTTTCAAAATGAAAGGTTAAAAGGTCTCTTTTTGAACAAAAGTTTTCAAAATGGAGGGGTAAAAGGCCTCTAATTGCATTATGGTTAAATTCAAAATGAAGTAGACCAAGATCAAGTCTGAACTAATATTATGGCCAGAAAGCAAATTTGATTTTAATGACTAAATGCCAATTTGGATGTAGAACACTAAAAGTGACGTTGTTTTGTCAACATGAAGTTTGGCACACTTTTACAAAGCCAACTTTTCTATGTCATGGTTCACAATTATTAACTGTTTTAATTGTTGTCGTGCCAGAATTTGTGCCGAATTATCAATAAATTTGTTTGACTTCATGGGTTATTGTTTATATTAAGTGTGAAGAAGTTCCGAAAAACTCCTTTGTAAAGCACCGGCCAAGGTAACAAATAAAAAGATCTGCTAGATATAACTATAAGGTGGAGTTGACAGAGTTAATATTATTGAATATCAAATGGATTAATGGATTAAGACCAGTATGAGTGGGAGTAGATGTTGTTGTTTTTGTTGAATTGGAAGGAAGAAAAATAAAGGAAACGAAAGTTGACACCTTGGCAGACGTCATTGTCAGTTTAAAACTGAATTTCCTTGGAAAGATTTCCAGGTTCCACTGTTGTCATAGCTATATTGTTTGTTGGTCACATTCTACGAGTTAGATTTGAGAACAATTATTTGTAGACTCAGCCTTATTAAATAGGAAAAAAATTATCCTTCTGTTTAATTATCTTTTATTTTTAATATAGCCACTTCAGTTAGGGTCTAACAACAGTCCTCTTGAACATTCGCCAAATTAACCTTTTGACCTAACCTGATAAACACTGTGTCACAAAATGCCAGCGCTGGAGAGGGTAGAAATTTGATTGGTTAAAGCAGACCTCATAGAGTTTGGTCAAAAGGTCAATTTGATGAACATAATATGTTGATTGTTAAATCGTCAAATGCCAACTTGTTTAATGCAATGAATTTAAATTGTAGAATTTTTTTTATTTCCAGGGAGAAGAGAATTTAGCTGAAGATCCATTATTAAACTGGTCTGGACCACACACAATTTCTATACCACGCAATAATACATGTAATCAGGGACTAGGATTTGGATTTAGTCTTCGACATCTAGTTGTAAACCCACCTGATACATCAAGAGCAGTTCCATTTCAAGTAAGTTGACAACACCCATGGTCTGAAACTTTATACCTAGGGTCAAGGTGAAAGCTGGTTGCTAAGGGCTTGAACACTTATGCAGGATTAAGGGAGACAAGTTGTCAGATGAAATTCTGATGATAGTTCATAGAGTAAAGATGGCAAAAAAAAAACAGTCTACCTAGAGTGAGCAAAGATTATAGGAAGCCATCTTCGTTATGTGAAAAGTCATATTTGAGGTATCAGTAAGCCAATCTAGAGGATGTGATAGCTTATAGCTACAAAAGCAAAAGGCCAATTTAAAGGATGTACAGGCTTATGATTGGAGGAAATTAAGAACTCGGATTGGTTAATATATGAACTATCAACCAATTAAAGTCCTGTTTAAACTTTTTGTTTATATCAAATGCCAAATAATAATGACTGATTACTATTCAAGAAAAGGTCATAAGCAAGTTTGATATTTGAGTACTTTGGTTGAAAAGTTTGGTTTATTAGTCATAGTTCATATATGTTAGGGGTAGTAATCGGCTTATTAGAGCAAGGGTTCCATGTACAAAACTCATGCTATATTTGAGAGATCATTGTTAAACTGTGGTGTTATAGTGGAAGTTATTGACATTATGTTGGGGGTAGTTATCAGCTTATTGGAGCAAGGGTTACACGTACAAAACTCATGCTATATTTGAGAGATCATTGTTAAACTGTGGTGTTATAGTGGAAGTTACTGACATTATGTTGGGGGTAGTTATCAGCTTATTGGAGCAAGGGTTACATGTACAAAACTCATGCTATATTTGAGAGATCATTGTTAAACTGTGGTGTTATAGTGGAAGTTATTGACCTACTATTAAACAATACCATCTATTGTTACTCTATAGTGATATAGGATGGTTCAGTGACCGAGAGTATAGAATGATAGTAACTTTGTTGTTTCTGACTCAGTCAAAGGAAATATAATTTACTCTAGTAGTGTAACTTGTTCAACTTCACTTGATGAGAATTGGGTAAATTTTTTAATATAGATTGGATTGTTTTTGGAATTAGCAGACTCTTCTGTTAAAGTGATACTACATCTTAGAATTAACATGAAATTTAAGAATTTTAAACTTGGTGAATAAGAGCCAGTAGATATACCTGGTGTCATAAATAACATAACAGGATCCTTATATAATCCAATAAATCTAAAAAACTTAGTAATTATCCATAAATATGTAATTAACTATTGAAAAACGCTTAATATCAAATATCAAATACTGTATGTGTATACATATTCTTAAAACGAAGATCAAGTTTGAATTTGAGCTATTTTCGACCGTTAGAAGCAGAGTTATTGCCCTTGCCCCAAATTCTTGAATATTTACCATCTGCATGCCAAGGTGGGCGTATATGGCTGTGGTCCACTATCTTTAAATCAGATTTGATTGATATTTGGAATAGCAGACCCCATTTTGAGAAAGGTTGGGTTATTTAGATTTTACTTTATAAGCCCTTCTGCCTTGTTTGATTTCTGTTTTTGAAAAGGAACAAGGGTAAAATTTGTTTGCCATCACTGACTTTAGAAAAGATCTGTTGAACTTTGCATGTGAGTTTGAGAATTGACAATGGATTACAAAAAAAGTGAGCCAATAAAAATTTGCCTTTTTCAATGAAAACAAACTAAGTAGAGGTTAATTTGTATACAGAGGAAAAAAAATTTGCCCAGCGTAAATATTGTAAATTGTTTGCTGTAAAATTGTTCAAGTCGGGTAACTCTATTTCATTGACATTATAAATCGACACTTGAAACTGTAATGTAAACACTCTTCGCGTCTGCATCAATATCTTGATGTTTGAGTTCATTATTCACCATCAAATTTGAGTGCATGTCAATTTTTTGCTGCAGTATTTACTAAATTTAAATTCATGTTAGATTAGAGCTAGCTTAAAGATGGGTTTCCTTGTTTTTTAGTGTCAAATTAAGCAAACTATTTGATTAATTGGTGTTTCTAATGAATTATCATATATTCTTAATCATATCATTATGTTCTTATTGCATATAATAAAAACTTTTAACCATTGCAATCATAAATGTCCATGTATGTACAGTCTGGATAAACAAAAAAGACGTTTTGACCTTTCTTCATCGGTCACTCATCCCAATTCTGTTGGTAATTCTCTTCTAATTTAGCTAATTATGAATTCATTATGTAACTGTGAGACAAACTGGTATTTTTTCAATTCATTAGAACACCTCTACTTTCTATTCATATAAGTATTAGCATTTTCATAGATGAAAATAAGGGAACCCATCTTTAAATATATGTCAAAATTTTGAAACTTTTATTGTAACTGTGGAGGGACAATCTTTGCGTCTGCATTGATATTCTTGTCATCTTGGTTATTCATTCAAAGTTTAGTTTTGTGCATAGCCAATTCTTTTGTGCTTACTGAATTTGCCATCCAAGCCTGATTAGAGCTTAACTTAAATCAAATATCATCTATTTGGCAACATTTTAAGCAACTGTTTTGATATATTTAAATGTGCATTCATTTATTGAACTCTCAGTGCATATGGGAGTTTTCCTGCCATAGCCAATGCTTTCTTACACCATGTTTTTTTTTTTTTTTTTTAAACAATATTTATTCAAGAATTACAAATATTATATACATATATATAAACATATGGTTTTGGAAACAAGCTTATATAAGCTTATATAAATCCATTGCCATTCAAAAATAGTTACAATACGATACAATACAAATTAGGGAAAAATTTACAAACTATTTACACTAAATGAGGTTCTCTCAACTGTATCAAGGTTGTAAAAGAGCAGATAGGGTTCAGTAAATTCATTTGTATGGATGAAATAAAATAGGTCGCTGTGGGGCCATGCTGATTGTTGAAACCTCGATGAGCAAAACCTCCAACAAACATATTTTACACCATGTTTGAATATCAAGTATATAGACTGTCATTAAATTGATCAAAAAAATACTGACAGTAATATAAAAACCAAATTGGACTTCACAATATAATAACAAAAACTTGTTTCTATTGAACACTGGGATAAACTATTTACTCAAAATTCCTGTTTATATGAAACCCTCTCTAAGCAAAATATTATGATTAGGCAACTTTAAACAAAGATCACACTGAAGACTGGTGATAAGTTGTTAGACCAAAATTGTATGGTTAGCTTTTACAAGCAAGGGATCTAGATTGACCCAATTAGTGATTAATGAAAAAATGCAATCAATTAAGTCCATGACAAGTTGTTTTATAAAGCATGTTTTGGACGTGATATATTGCTAATCTGTAGGATTAATGCTAATCCTCTCCATGTGGATTAAGCTTAATGGATTGTTAATCTGATTAACTTGTGGCTATTGTTTCAACCTAACATGTGACATTTCCTTTCTGATCATTTCAAACTTTGTGGTTACATTAATCTGAACATAGTCTGTTCAAAGTCTGTTCATATGAAACTCAGATATAGAGAAACAGTTCTAGGGTTTTACTGAACACAGAGAATTTCAGGTTTCTGGATATGTTGATTTATGCTGGGTCTGTGCATGCCAAATTTTAAAACTGGATTGGATTGGACACTTTTGGAAGTTTTGACTGAACGCTTAGAACTTATCATTGGATTGTTGTATATTAATAGAGACTAGGTTTGTACAGTTTTAGATTTTTGGGAATCTTGTGGTTATAAAGATAGTGGACCACAGCCATATACGCCCACCACAGCATGCGGATGGTGAAAATGAAACATCCATTTTAAGTTTCATCAAAATCGGTTGAAAACTAAGAGAGTAATAGCATATTCAAGATTTTGGGCAAGGGCAATAACTCTGCTTCTAACGGTCGAAAATAGCTCAAATTTGAACTTGATCTTTTTTTATGAATATGTATACACATACCGAATTTCATTTGATTCCATCAAAAAATCGAGTTTTTAGAGCTTTTACAAGCAAATGTTGACAGACAGACAGGGGTGCCGACGATATACGTCCACATAGAGAGATTTTTTGACATTTCTAGTATTTCTGAAGACATTTTATATATATTCAAAACTCAAATCAACAACTGAAAATGTAGAACTGGTCCCTTTAAGTAATTTGTCCAGTTATGTCAGTTTTGGTCTGTAGTTGTCAGTCATTTGTCAAATATTATGATAAGTTTACATTGTTATAAATATATAGGTTAAATACATTCCTCAATAACTGTTATGATCTATAAACTTATTTTGTCCTTTTTCAACTTTCATCAAATTTGGAGGGAGCCGCGGTGGCTCAGTGAGTTAGACACTTGCTCGCTAACCTGAAGGTCCAGGGTTCAATCCTGGCATAGGTCGAGATAATACCTTCGGATTTTTCAAACCGGTTTCCCCCTTTCAGTGATGCAGGTAAGAGGGGCTGACATGGAAATATCGTCTAGTCATTCGAATGGGATAATAAACCGAGGCCCCATGTGCTACAGGCTGTGCACATTAAAGATCCCTTGATAGTTGGAAATCGGTCACTCATTGGAATTCTGCTGGTAATTCTCTTCTAATTTAGCTAATTATGAATTAATTATGGACATGTGAGACAAACTGGTATTTTTCCAAGTCATTAGAACACCTCTACTTTGTATTCATATAAGTATTAGAATTTTCAATTTCACAAATGAAAATAGGGGAACCCATCTTTAATTTGATCTTGGCAAGTCAGAGATTATTTTTTGTGGTAGATTATTGTCAAGAATAAAGGCATACTAATTAGCCTACTTTATTTTTCTTTGGTTATCACTGTTTCCATATTCTATCAGTAACTTCAGTTTTTGGTGGATTTACTCCGGGATATTCCTGGAAGGATTTTTTTCTACGATTGAAGGATGATGGATCCATGGAATCTGGATAACAAATGAGCAAATTTCAGAAAGAATCATGAAACTGTCAAACTTAATTCTGTTTTTTTTTATTTTTCAGTTTTATGAAGATGAAGAAAATGACTATTTTGATGGTAAGTTGAATTTTTCATCCCAATATTTTCCATTCGTAGTAGTGTTGCAACGGTTAATCAGTTAACTGATTTCGGGTAGTATTTCACGGGTAACCAGGTCTGATTTGAGATAAATGGTTAACCGTCAATTTTATAAGAAGTAAAAAGAGAGCAAGTTTTGTTATTATTTTTATTATTTCAATCGGGTACGAGTCGCTTCTTGTCTGTCAATCAGCTTCAAGCTTATTAATATTCATGAGTACGGATTCATTGAGACAATAGTTTTATACCAGTTGTGGAACCAGTACACTGATTTACGGCGACTTCAATAAGATACACACATTACACTGACCCCACAACTGGTATAAAAACCTTTGATCTGTTAGAGACTGTAGCAATGAGTGACAATGGCGCCAGTCCGTCTGAACTCTGTCAGGCCCACTCGTAATCTTACATTGAAGCAGACGCTTGGTATACGTCGATTTGTACCGACAATTCGCGGGGAACTAGCCAAAATCTTCCTGGGTACTCATTAACACTTACTCTAGTTTAGTTAACGGTGAGTTACCGTCGCAAATACGGTTTTGACTTCTTTTATAATCTTTAGTTATTAACCGGGATTAACCGGGTAACAAACAGTTATTGCCGACGATTACCCAGTTCGTAAAATTCACTAACCGTTTCAACACTAATTTGTAGCATCACGATAAGATATTTGACAGATTTGATTAGTTCGTCAGATGTTAGTTATCTCCCTTGGAGACTCTATCCTCATAGACTGGAGACGTCTGGGTGTCAGAGACATGCCAAACATCAACAATGGTTAACGAAAGTAGTTCAATTTATCCGCCAGCTGCATACAAGGTTATTGTTAGGTGTAGCCAAAATGGCCGACCTAGATCAAAATGTCAATATGTCACAAAGATATGAAATAGTAAAATCCTATTTATTTCAATAGCTCAATAATTTTATTTTGTATTTTAGACCAATCAGATCAAGGCTCAAAATGTGGTCTGGAGCCAATGGACACAATATTTGTGCGGACTGTAAATAATGGTGGACCAGCTGATCAATCAGGATTGAATATTGGAGATAAAATTCTCTCGGTTAACGGCGAATCTGTCAACGGGAAATCTTATCAACAAGTACTAGATCTTATACAACAAAGGTAGGGAGCTTCTTTTGGAATATATTGACACACTGGTTAAACAGAAAATCAAGATTTGCCCCATTTCAATTTTCAATTAGTGATTCCTGCGCTTCCACAAAAACGAAGTGTTTGATGACGTCACTAATCGCAAAATATGCTTTAACACATAAGGCCCGTGCAATTAATCATTAAACACTTCGTTTTAGTGGCATGGCAGGAACCACAGACATCTGATTGAAATTTGGAATGGTGCAAATTGACGTTATCAGTGTCCTTGATGCACGTTCAAAATATAGGAAACCTTTTTACAATTCCTTGTTTGGTCACCAGAAAGTCCAGGGTTCAATCCAAGTATAAGTCTATTGAATTTAACAACCCGGTATCCCCCTGTCCGTGATACAAGTCAGAGGGACTGACACAGAAAAAGCATCTGATTAGACAAATGAAGCAAAGCTGTGTGTTCTACATACTGTACACATCTGTAGATTACTTTTGTTTGTCAGTAATGCAAGTCATGGACAAGGAAAAAGCGTCCATGCTACTGATTCTTATGCCTGATGTATAATGAAAATTATTTTTTGTTACAGTGAACATTCAGTCAGACTCTTAGTCATACCCCGCAATGAAGATATATTGCAAATGGTAGGTATTTCCCATCACAAGTTTTGGAGGAAAAAAAGTGCCTCGTTGTTTTGATTGAGCAAAAATCTGAGGCTCCAAATACTTCAGACTGTGTTTATTACTGGTTGTCTACTGTACCAATAGTGTATAGAACAGTAGCTCATAATAAAACTCAATTTCATTTCATTAGTTCAATAAGGTGCAGAACAGTAGGATATAAAACACCATTTTCATTAGTTCAATAAGGTATAGAACAGTAGGATATAAAACTCCATTTCATTTCATTAGTTCAATAAGATACAGAACAGTAGGATATAAAACTCCATTTCATTTCATTAGTTCAATAAGATACAGAACATTAGGATATAAAACACCATTTCATTTCATTAGTTCAATAAGATACAGAACAGTGGGATATAAAACTCCAATTCATTTCATTAGTTCAATAAGATATAGAACAGTAGGATATAAAACTTCATTTCATTTCATTAGTTCAATAAGATACAGAACAGTAGGATATAAAACCCCATTTCATTTCATTAGTTCAATAAGATACAGAACAGTAGGATATAAAACTCTATTTCATTTCATTAGTTCTATAAGATACAGAACAGTAGGGTATAAAACTCCATTTCCTTTCATTAGTTCAATAAGGTACAGATCAGTAGGATATAAAACTCCATTTCATTTCATTAGCTCAATAAGGTACAGATCAGTAGGATATAAAACTCCATTTCATTTCATTAGTTCAATAAGGTACAAAACAGTAGGATATAAAACTCCATTTCATTTCATTAGTTCAATAAGATACAAAACAGTAGAACACAAAGCTCCCTTTCATTTCATTAGTTCAATTAGGTACAGAACATAAGGATATAAAACTCCATTTCATTTCATTAGTTCAATAAGGTATAGAACAGTAGTACATAAAACTCCATTTCATTTCATTAGTTCAATAAGATACAGAACAGTAGGATATAAAACTCCAATTCATTTCATTAGTTCAATAAGATACAGAACAGTAGTACATAAAACTCCATTTCATTTCATTAGTTCAATAAGATACAGAACATTAGGATATAAAACACCATTTCATTTCATTAGTTCAATAAGATACAGAACAGTAGGATATAAAACTCTATTTCATTTCATTAGTTCAATAAGATACAGAACAGTAGGATATAAAACTCTATTTCATTTCATTAGTTCAATAAGATACAGAACAGTAGTGCATAAAACACCATTTCATTAGTTCAATAAGGTACAGACAGAACAGTGGGATATAAAACTCCATTTCATTTCATTAGTTCAATAAGATACAAAACTTTCCATTTCATTTCATTTCTCCTATGACCTTGGACCTATCAAATCAAAGAGTATTTTGATGATTGGTTTATTTGAAAAATTTCTTCTGTTTTGAATTCTTATCATATGTGAAGCAATGATGACAAGGATGGTACTTTATTTGATAGCCTTGTTTTACATTTTTGACATGTCTATGAAAAATATATTGTCATATATATATGGCTTCCGAATGGTTTCCACTTCTAAAAAGTTCTGCCTTTGGCACAGTCAGTAGTGAGTTGGATTGTCGTTGGTTAAGACAGTGAGATAACTAATTGTTGGGCTTAATCGCCGCTAGAGGCAAAAATGGCAGTGGACAATTTAGGTAGAGTCTAAATTTGAATAATGTTCTATAATTGATATATAAATTTTTCTGTTTCAGGCCTATCCTGGTTCCCAGGGATTCTCAACTGGTTCCTCTGTAGACTTGGAAACACCTAAAAAATCAACAAATCAGACATCACCTTACAGACCTCATCCTATTGATGAAAATAGTGCACCAGCAGATTCACGACCATCGCGTAAGGATACACCATATAAATTTGAATCTACTCATGAGTACAATCCACCACCTAGTCACGCTTCAAAAAGATTTTACGGTTCTGATTCGCGTGTTTATCGTCAACCTTTGAGAAACGATGATAGCGAAAATAAAGTGATCTCATTTAGTGATCGAAAAATAGATCGCCCAGTGTCTGAAGGTAGTGGAGGCAGAATGGCTTCCATATCCATTCCCTCAAAAAATACTTATTCTTATGGATTAATTATTCCACCTAAAGATGATGGAAAATCAAGCAGTGTGGATAATTTGAGCAGAAATGTGTCTGGATTGAAATATTCTCGTGAAAATTCTGGTAGTGGAAGTGATACTGGTCCAGTTCGTCACAGACGGCTTAATTACGACAATCGTCAGTCTTCTGCTGACAGTGATTCAAATTTGGATAAGAAAACGTCTGTTCGTGTGACACAATCTGGCAGACACAGTTACACTGAGCCCACAACATCATTTATAATCTCGCGTTCTAAAACTACGTCTGCTCTAGGAAATCAAGCCAATCGTGGGCCTAAATCTATACAGTATTCGTCATCAAGAAGAGGAAGTGACAATGCCGGAGAGGCGACAGGAAGTAGACATGTTGTTCCTGTAGTCTCAGAGATGGGAAAAGGAAGTCAGTTTTCAACGAGTGTAGACAGTATTGATTTAAGGACAGGACGTTATAAACAAGAACTTGCTTGGCAACCAAGTCAGCCCTCAATCAGAGACCGTGAGAGGGATCATGATAATAATAATTCAGGACGGACATTTGTTGTGCGAATTCCAGTCAGTGATCGTCAGCAAAGTATGGACAGTCCGTCTCGTTCAGGGACAACTTTTGCCTTAACTCGATCCCCTGTGACTCAAATTGAGATCCATAAATCTACCGTGCGTCCGACAGTTGTGCATCGGAAACAGCAATTTGAGGAAGGGAAAAATGAAAATATTCCGCCACGTAATGTCAACGTGAATCGATACAAAACAGAAATAGAAAAACTTTCGTCGTTAAAAAAGTTTTCTAGTGTTGCCAATCGGACAGCTCAGTTTGAACCGAAATCTGATGCTAGTGCTACCACATCATCAGATGAAAGTGGTTCTCCACCTCTTGGAACACGAGACCGGAAACTTTCAGATCAATTCCGTCCAAAGGAACTTCAATCTCAAGCCCATAATAGTCATAAGGCGGAACGTCCAACTACGTTAACAAACTATTCAGAGAGTGCTCCTATTCGAATTTATGTGTCTCCCGGAAGTTCAAGCGCACCTTCGTCTCCGATTGTAGAAATCGTTCCTCTATTTCCGGATCAGAATTCCAACCGGGAGACCAATCAGAGACCCACTAGCTACCCTCAGAACTCTTCAGAAGAAAATTATGATGGGTACCATGCAAGGATTGTTCATGAAAACGTTCATAATAATCGTCCTGTAAGGAAAACATCATACTTATCAGCAGTGAACGCACCTAGACCCAGATGTAAGTTTCATACTTTCTGTATTTTTGTTTAGTGAATTAGACATCAAGCCAAGCTATACTAGTAGCTAGTTTTAAAGTGATGTTGGCATCATCCCAACCATTCTGGTACTTAATCTGCAAATTTTTCTTGACATTTTAGCATGCTTATTTACATAATGATATCCTTCCAGCACATCTCGACTTTCAAGTTATTGTTAATAGGTTTTCTATGTGTATGTGGTTCCTGCAATTCCACTAAAACTGTTCTTGATGACATCACTAATCCCGAAATAGGCTTTATCACATAAGGCCCTTTGCAATTAGTGACGTCATCAGACCTCAAGTTGAAAATTGGAATGGTGCAAATTGATGCTATCAGTGGAAGTTGGTATACCACATAAGTATGAAATAACACTATCAGTGTTCCTGATATATATAAAAACCATAGAAAACCTCTTGGTTAAATTGGTGAAAACATCAAAGCAGGTATCATGGTACAGTGACTATAATTTTGGAAATAAAAAATAAACATTCTAATTATAAGAATATCTTCATTGCAGATTCTGATGAAAATTCATCTAGTCCTGAAAGTCCAGGTGTAAACTCAGGTACTGGTACATTCTTATACCCACAGAAATAAACAAAAAAAAATAACGAGATATCTGATCGATTTTGTTGGTTTGCGTCCCCCAGTTAGCAAACTGGTTAACTTGGATTTGTTTTTAACATGAGCTAATGCTGCTAGCCTCAAAAATTTTATTGCATATATAAATTGTGTGTATATTAGTTCTATAAGCCTCAGAAGCGTAGGGTGTAAAACTCCAATTTCATTTCATTAGCTCAATAAACATTTAGGATCTATTACTCCCATTTTATTAGCCTGAAAAGCTGATAGAAGTAGGATGAAAAACGCTCATTTCATTAGTCTAAAAAGCTGTAAAAAATTAAATGAAAGAATGGAGTTTTACGTCCTACTTTTCT